TACATTTAATGGCTAGAGCATTTAAGAAAATAATTTGCTTTACTGGAAAAAGTCTGGCATGGAGCATAATAGAGCTCCATATTGAGCTGTTTAGATGCTGACTGTAGAACACACCTCTGGATGATACGCAACTAAATCATGTTCAGGGTCTGGTCACGAGTAAAACAGGAGATCACCCTATGATTTAACACTACTTGGTATTTATTAGCACATATGTTATTACTTAATATTATGGTTCTCGGCATAAAGTAACTATTAGCCGCATCATTATCTGCTATGATGAACTGGACTGCCTTTCTATAGCCTAAGGTGTAATACAAATCACTGAATACTCCTAGAATCAGTTGTTAATTCCTATACATGCCTTGGAGGTGCAGGTATCATTGGAAGAATACAGAATTCCTCTCAACACAGATATCCAATATGCGGTAAATATATAAGCCATTGCTTCGCCTTTCAGTATTTAGTACTACTGACCTCCTATCAAGCAAGCTAAGCTATCAGAAAGCAAGCAGCTAATCGCATTCAACACTATTTTAGACATGCTTGCAAGCTTAGGCGTGCCCACCTGATTCTGCCCCCTCCACCCCCATTTTTTTTTTAGTTAAATACCATATCCCCGTGTCATGTCATAAACTGCTTTTGAAAGTCCCCTCAATTTCAAAGTGCATTGCCATGTAGCTTAAAAAGCTGCTCTTCAAGAAACTCTAGCTTAAAATCCCCATGGCCATGCAGAATGAGCTATGCTTTTCTGCCCGTGTCTTAATTAGGAGGCAGTACAGAAGCTGTAGTAAGAACATAAGAAGAGCCATCAGGCTAGTCCAGTGCCCTGTTCTCATAGTGGCCACCTAGATGCTTGTGCGAAACTGGCAAGCTGGACCTGAGCACAAAAGCCTCTCCTCTCCTGCAGTTTCCAGTAACTGGAATCCAGAAGCATTATTGCATCCCAACTGTGGAGGCAGATTATAGCCATAGTGGCTAATAGCCATTGATAGCCTTAACCTCTATGACTGTCAGAACTGCCAGCTCCCTTGAGTTGCAGCGCTCAGGAGAGATAACAGTCCAGAAGCCCAGCCATATTTTACACTCTTGATTGCTTCTTGGCGTATTTACATGCAGTTCAAAAAAGCGATCCGATCATCATGGAGAGTTGTTCCGTCTGACATCTTTCCTCTTGTGGTGGGGCCAGCACAGCCACCTTCCCAGCCCCCTCCTACTTCCCCTGTGACGAGAGGCACTGGCTCTAGGAAGTACCCCCTCCCTCTCAGAATCACTCCCCTCTGACCCCCCTTCTTCCCCTTCCCTTCCCTCTGAAGACGAAAAGCTGCTGATCAAAGGGGATCTTTCCCGGTAACCTCCCATTCCTTCCTCCCTCGCTGTCTGTAGTTCCCTGACAATGACATTGCCCAATTCTCTTTCAAAGCCATCTAAGTTGGTGGCCATCACGGCCTCCTTTGGGAACAAGTTCCATAGCCTATGTGCTGGATGTAGAACAGTCTTTTCTCTGTCCTGAATCTTCCAACATTCAACTTCACTGGGCGCCCATGTATTCTAGTGTTACGAGAGGAAAAACTCACACCCCCTTTCCACTTTCTCCATGACATGCTTGGGACCAAAAGTGCTGCACCAACAAGTACAAAATAACCCCTCTGCAGCACCACAAATCCAACTCAATGGTGTAGCGTTGGAAAATGTTTATCACTTCCTACCTAGGCAATTATCTTTCCACAAGGGCCAACATTGATGCCGAAATCCAGCATTGCCTGAGCTCTGTGAGTGTGGCTTTCTCCCGATTAAAGTGCAGAGTGTTTGAGGGACATTTGCAGGGAAACAAAAATGCTTGTTTACAAAGCTATTGTACTACCAACCTTACTATATGCTTGTGAAACATGCACCACTTATAAACGCCATCTCCAACTCCTCAAAAGATTCCATCAATGGTGTCTCCGAAAAATTTTACACATCACTTGGGAAGACAGGCGAACTAATATCAGTGTACTGGAAGAAGCAAAGATCACCAGTGTTGAAACAATGATTCTTCAACATCAACTTTGTTGGACTAGTCATGTTGTGCAGATGCCTGATGATCGTCTTCCAAAGTAACTATTCTATTCCGAACTTAAAAATGGAAAGCGTAATGCTGGTGGTCAACAAAAGAGGTTTAAAGACTGTCTCAAGGCAAATCTAAAAAAATGTAGTATAAACACTTGACAACTGGGAAACACTGGCCTGCGAGCGCTCCAGTTGGAGAACAGGCTTTACCAAAGGTGTCATGGGCTTTGAAGACACTCATGCTCAGGATGCAAGGGAGAAACGTGCCAAGAGGAAGGCACGCTTGGAAATCTACACCGTGATCAACTCCTACCCGGAAACCTATGTCCCCACTGTAGAAGGATGTGTGGAGCCAGAATTGGCCTCCACAGTCTCTTACGGACTCATTGTTAAAACCGTATTCATGGAATACAATCTTACTCAGCTACAAGTAATCGCCAAAAAAGAAGAAGATGCCATGCTTAGCTTTATAGACTTCTATCATGTCACTTCTGACTCGCCTTTTCTCTAAACCAAGAAGTCTCCAATGCTGTAGCCTTTCCTCATATGAGAATTGTTCCATACCCTTGATGATTTTGGTTGGCCTTATCTGAATTCTTTCCAACTCTATGATTCTTTCCAACTCTATGATAACCATTGGTGAGGTGGCCAGAACTATACACAGTATTCCAAATGTGTTTGCACCATAGATTTGTATAACTGAATCATGATAACAACAGTTTTGTTTTCAGTTCCTTTCCGAATGATCTCTAGCTTTCTCACAGTGGCTGTGTCATACTAGGTCAACATCTTCATCAGTCACCACCAGTTCAGACCCCTTGAGCTTACATGTGAATTTTTTTTTTTTGCATTGACATGCATCACTTTATCCTCAATTGCATTTGCCATTTTACCACCCATTCACTCAGCACTGAGAGATCCTTTTGGAGTTCTTTATAATCTCCCTTTTTTTATTATCTTGAACTACCTGGTATCATCAACAATCCTGGCCACCTCACTGCTCACCCCTAACTCTAGATCATTTATGAACATGTTAAGCACAGTAGTGATCTCTTGGGAGAACTCCACATTCTGCACCTCTCCAGAGTTCTATTCCTGGTCTCTTCTTCCTGCTACTTAACCAACTCCTGATTGACAAGGTAATGGCTATGCTAAGCTTACTCAGGAGTCTTCATTGAGGGATCTTGTTGAAAGCAAGTACACTATGTACCAAATGAAAATTATACACTCCTGGATTAGCTTGGTTCCTACTGAAGTGTCTTTGGGGGGGAGAGTGTTTCTTACATTTATTTTCTTAAATTTATATCCTTCGTTAGTCATGGAAGGAATTACTGAAGAATTGCAATCGATATCTAGGTAACATTGCAGGTATGCTTGGTCTTGAATTCTTAACACCCAGTGAAAGTGGCTTAGTGTGGAACATACCACTGTAGGCAACTGTTTGCTGGTGCAACTGTCCTGGAAGGGTTTTTAAATGATAGTATGTGTATACTATCTGGACAGTGGGACGCAGGTGGCGCTGTGGTCTAAACCACAGATCCTAGGGCTTGCCAATCGGAAGGTCGGCAGTTCGAATCCCCGTGACGGGGTGAGCTCCCGTTGCTCGGTCCCAGCTCCTGCCCACCTAGCAGTTCGAAAGCACGTCAAAGTGCAAGTAGATAAATAGATACCGCTCTGGCGGGAAGGTAAACGGTGTTTTCGTGCGCTGCTCTGATTCACCAGAAGTGGTTTAGTCATGTTGGCCACATGACCCGGAAGCTGTCTGCAGACAAACGCCGGCTTCCTCGGCCTATAGAGCGAGATGAGCACCGCAACCCCAGACTGGACCTAACGGTCAGGGGTACCTTTACCTTTACCTGGACAGTATTCCATTTCCATTCTACTGGAAAACCATTGTGAGAAGGGGAGGGGGTGAAGGAGCAAGGCTCCATCCTGCCCTTACAACCAGCCTGATGCCAAATCCTACTACAAGAGATGTTATGGAGCTCCACCTCTTATTGGGAGGGGCACCTGATGACATGGCCCAGCAGACTGGATTTGGCTTCAGGGTGCTAATTGCTGAGTAAGCGTGGAGCAAACAAGACATGCAGAATGCTGAACATTCCTCCCTCCTAGGCTGGTCCTGATCCCATGTCTAACAGAAGCATGACATGTAAAAAATAAGCAGGTAAATCTTTTCCTAGTTCGTAGTGAGAAAAACTTCACTAGCACAATGTGTGTGTGTGTGTGTGTGTGTGTGAGAGAGAGAGAGAGAGAGAGAGAGAGAGAGAGAGAGAGAGAGAAAGAAAGAAAGAAAGAAAGAAAGAAAGAAAGAGGTGGTGGTTGATGTTAAAGAGAAGCAAGAGAAAGGCCAGAAAATAATGTTATATTGCTTAATATAATGGCAACTCTCGTGGCCTAGTTGATGGGTTCTGCAGCTTCACCGGAATACTGTGGAAACTTCCTGACTGAGCAAGTCAGTCACATAAGAGGAAAGGAGGAGCATAAAGAGAAATATTTCAAAAAGGTCAAAATATTCTACTTGCTTATTTCAGTTTTCTGTCATCTTCAAAGCAAGAGAAGCCCTTGAACACAAATTACGGTCAGGTGAATGTCAACTGCTACATACCACACAGAGAGTGAATGTAGGGCAAAACTAAATAAATATTTACTGCGTAGTTCATAACATTTTTTGCCAATAAAAGTTATGTAAATTTGTGAAAGTACAAATCCAACCACACATGTGTGAGATTCATTCATCTACACCTCCAGGGGTTGAAATTTTGCTTCATTTTTAATCACTGTGGACATCGGAAAAACAAAATAAAGCCCTGAGAACATTCAGGCGAGGGTAAAATTTGCCTCTAATCTATCTGAGGCCCTTTTTGCGAATATTGCGCCTGCGTTGCCATGACAACGCCACCACCACATCTCAGAACTCAAAAAGCGACAGCACTTTCGATTCTCACCTTTGGCCATTTTATTGAGAACCATGTCAATTAGGATGTAGGTTCCACTTCTTCCCGCACCGTCACTACAGAGGGGGGGGGGAGGGGGGGAAACAACAATAGCTCATGATCAATTCAACATGCTCAAAACCCCGACAGAAATGCGATGCTGGAAGTATAGTAGAATAAAGGGCTGAGTTGAGGTGGAAGGATGATAGACGTTAGACAAGCTTTCTTTAACAAACTGTCCTCACAAGCTTGGCAGCTGTTACATTATTATTTGGGTAAACTCTACAATTCTGCAAGATGAATTTGTGTTTTCGTTAAGGGCAAATACCTGCTTATTTTGGAAAGACGTCTCCAAATATTTTTGAACAGTACTGTGATAAAGTGAGTAATTTTAGAAGCCAAGTATCCATGATCAAGAGCTGTTCAGTCAGATCTGTTAGCGAAAAGCTAAAAGGACAGAATAGCATCTTCTCCAAATGACTGCTCTCCCCTGTAATCTGAGTTTACAGGAACATTCATGTCAACAAACCAACCTTACAATCACTTGCATCTTCTTAAACTGGGGGGGGGGGGAGGATTGTATTGTTTCCTTATAAATTAATTGGATACTAGTCACCTGGGCTTGGGGAAAAATGCTGCCAATTTCCTTTTTCTTTAATATAGTAGCTGTCTTGGTTAGGGGGGAATAACATGCAGCTTCTGAAAGTATTTCTAACCCTCCTTGGAACACACAGGATAATTTTGGAGACTTCCGAGTGATCCATGTGAAGATATCAAGATCCCTAATCTGAAAGCAGTTTCCATTTGCTGTCAGAAACCAGCTTCTAATTGGAAAGGTGTTAATTTTCATAGATGTTGCCAGTATACAAAATTAAGATTCTAAGCAATCAATTTTTCTTGCCCTTTCCCCCATTTTTTAAGGTGGCATTTAAGGTGGGAGAGAGGGGGAGGGAGATATATCACTTAAAATAATTTGCTTTTGTTGATTTTCTTTATCTACAAAAATTATTTCTGGACTGGAGGGGTGTGGGGAGAAGACAGTGGTGTTACTGTAGTTTTGAATGCATTCTGATTTAAGTACAATTTACTAGGTCAGGGGTGTGGTTTTTAACCACAGAGTTAACGTTTTGACATTAGGCATTGGACTTGGTGTCAATAGAAATAATTGAGCGATTAAAAAAAATTATTTGACAAGGATATCATAATATATGTAAAAATTAGGAGGCATGTGCTTCTTCTCTTTTATAGCAAAATAAACCGTGCCAGTCCAGGCAAATTCAGAAGTCTACTAGAGTCTTGAAAATGGCACAATTCCCTGAGTTTTACGCAACGGAGCCTCAAAAGTGGCAGGGTTTTCTGGTTATAAACCACAGTCTATGAACTCTCTTATTTGGAAGCAAATTCTCAGCTGGCTTACCAAATAATATGCTTCTTGGAAGTCTATTCTGTTCAGCAGTTCCTTAGTCTCAAACCTCTTCCCTTCCTATGAGCTTGTGGCATTATGACCATGGAGGGAAAAAGACATGCCGCCATGGACGGCAGCTTGGATTCCCCAGTTCTGAGTCTCCCACACCACACCAGTCCTTGAACTGAACAAAGTATGGAATCCATGCCTAAACTGTATAACGAAATTTCTCTCAAAGCAGTAACACGTGGTACTGGGGAAAGTAATGTTTGAAGGCTTTTGAAATAAATGTTCAGTGAGCTGCCAAGCAAGTAACAGGGCCTATTTACTTACAGATGCAGAGAGGGTGAGGCTACAATCCTACACCGATTTACCTGGGAGTAAAACCCCATTGAACTTGATGCGACTTACTTCTAAGCAGGTATGTGATAGTGCTGTTTGGTGCCTGTGTGCACTGTACTGTTGTAGGTCAGAGAGAGAAGGAAGAATTGCTGCTGACATGGTATTGAGACCCCACTGGTTATTTCTGACAGGCTTAAGCAACTTTCATATTTTCATGATGAAATCTGAAGTGTGAGGAATCTCGCCATTTACTAGAGACTCTCCTCATCAGCAAATACAAATGTTTTTGGGGCAGAACAATAAGCTTTTGCTCATTTGGCAAATCAAGCTACAGAATCATTTGCATATTTTGTTCAGTCCATGCAATCTCCTTGTGAGCCTCTTTTGAGGGTGGGTTGAAAATGGTACTTGCCTGCAATGAACAATTACCGGACAAGAACGACCCCTGTAGCACTTGTTTACTTTTCTGTAATAAAACAAATATAGACATTGATAAATATATTACTTTCTGAGGTAATCATCAGAAGCATTCCAAAATAAAGTATCTTCCACATTTTAACGCCCTCCCCCAAAGATGGCTTGGCATATTAAAGTAGCTCAACATAGGCTATGATCTTCCAACCCGTTTTCCCAGTTAAAGGCTTAATGAAATTGTTAGGGCAATGGGTGCAATTCTCCAATCATTCCTCCTATAAAATAGCCATCGGGGCACATTTTTTAGTGGACACTGCCATAGATACATAGTCCGAGAATAGCAACCTTTAAACGGTCAGTCTAGCTATCAAACAACATTGTCACTGCCCATTGCCTTTATGCAAAGCCAAGCCCAAATCACATGGGAGTGTTACAACACAGACATATTAGTTATATGCTAGACCATGTAAACATTCGTGCTAACCCAGTGGGCTATTGCAAATGGAAGCTCCTGTACATACATGTCTTCTTGAATTCTTGAGTCAAAAGAAACAGAATTTTCACACATCACAGTAAAACAGTTTTTAAAATATACTTCACACATCTGTAATGCAAATGAATGTAAAATCTACAGTTGATAGATGGCATATTCCATTTGAAGAGCACTTTTTCAAAAGCTAAAACCTCACCAATCAGCTGTTTGGCAGAAAAGGGGAAATCAAGTAGAAGCCCCCCCCCCAACTTGCTTCTGATTAGTAGGAGTTAATCTCTGAAAAAGGTCTCTGTGTGTACACTGCTAGATGCTTGATTGGAGATGCAAAGGACCTATTTGGTGCATGCAGTTCCTCACTGTGAGGAGACCTGGTTTCACATACATGCAGAAGCTGCAAACCCGCGCCCCCCCCCCCGCCCAATTTGGGCACATCTTTCTGCTCCTCCTAAAAAAAACCCCCTCTTTTTTCTGCAAAGTGCAATTGGGGGCTTACTACAAATATAAATCTTCAAAACATACCACAGAAATAGGTACGTTTGTTGAAGCAGTGGCATCTCTAGGCAAAGCATATCCAGACTATGGCTTAAATCTAAAGGACCACAAAATTAGTTCCAATGTGCCCAAAGGGACTTTGAGTTTTTGTTTCTCAAAAAACCATCCCACTGCCACATGGCAAGCTGCTTTCAAAATCTAAGTGTCTTCCAAAAGCAGTTTTGATATTACAAGGGGATCTGCCGTTCAAAAGGAAAAAATCCCAAATCCACTAGGGATTCCCAAGCCTATTAGTGCACCCAACTTGGCTCTTTGGCTCTTTAGTTTTCGCCTTTTCCATTTCCACACTAAGGCTGCCTCTCAACAAGGGTCATCATTCTTGTAGTATTGTTTCAGTGCAGACCCCAACACGGTCACATCACCAAACTGTGGCTTGATTAGCAGGAATGCTCAGTGGGTTCCCCCTCTTCCCATCTCACGTTGACATTCCTCTTCCCTTTGGTTTCGCATATAGCTGGTTAGCATGGCAGGTGCACTGATATTTTCACTAACTATCGCCCTTCAGGCATAATCATGTGAGGGATTGTCTGGGCTCTGCCCTCCATCATGGTAAAGTGAGGAACTTTTGGTTTTTCCAGGGCTCTAAATAGCAAAGAATTCCTTCTTTACACAGCTATGCTCCAGTTCATGGCAATTTAGAAGTGGAGCTAGTACATGCCTCCCCCCCCCTTGCCCGATTACTCTACCCAGTAACAGAAAACCTGAACAGGGCTTACATACTAAGCCCAAGCAAGTGTTCACAAACCTACTTTGACCATAGTTTGAGGCTTACTATAGCACGGTTAGCAAAAGCACTATATCCATAATGGAAGGGCAGGGCATTTCCATTTAAAATGGAGGAGTTGTGAACCTGAGGGGTACTCCCAACTGCCCACCATGTGGTAAGGTAAAAAGGTAAAGGACCCCTGGATTGAGGTTGAGGCACTAAAATGCCCAAGTCCAGTCAAAGGCAACCATGGGGTGCGGCGCTCATCTCACTTTCAGGCCAAGGGAGCCAGAGACAGCTTTCCAGGTAATGTGGCCAGCATGGCTAAACGGCTTCTGGCACAATGGAACACTGTGACGGAAGCCAGAGCACAGGAAACGCCATTTACCTTCCCCCTACAGCAGTACCTATTTATCTACTTGCACTGGTGTGCTTTTGGACTGCTAGCTTGGTAGGAGCTGGGACAGAGCAACGGGATCTCACCCCGTTGCATGAATTCCAACTGCTGACCTTCTGATCAGCAAGCCCAAGAGGTTCAGTGGTTTATACCCCAACCATGTGGTAGAGGTTGGTCTGTTTGGGCGAATGGGGCAATGTCTCACCAACCTTAATCTACCTTCAGTAGGCCGAGGCCTGCCTGGCATTCATCACTTACAAGCAGTCCAAGGGGTGGGCACTGCCTGTGAGCTTCCTCCTCATTATTTCCACAATGCCCTGGTAGAAATCAGCAGGGAGAAGGAGGATGGGGACAAAACCAGCATTAGTTGGCTCTGCTTGTTCTTGGCTCTTCCTCCGCCTACCGTTGGGCTCCCTCTGCTTTCTGACCCCACCAGTCCCAATGGGCACCAGCCACCAATGCAACCATGACAGTATGGCAGCACAAAAAAAATTCCTTCCAGTAGCACCTTAAAGACCAACTAAGTTAGTTCTTGGTATGAGCTTTCGTGTGCATGCACACTTCTTCAGATACACAGCTCATACCAAGAACTAACTTAGTTGGTCTTTAAGGTGCTACTGGAAGGAATTTTTTTTGTTTTGACTATGGCAGACCAACACGGCTACCTATCTGTAACTGGAGTATGGCAGCATTAATGGGCAGAATTATATTTGCTGTAATGTGCATTCTTGCAATGTTAAGTGCTGGATCAAATGGTACAATGAATGGTTGAGTTCTCATCCTAAAGAATGGGGATATCAGACACTGGTTTGAAATCAAGGTAGCATGATCAATTAGAGCCAAAGGCTTTCTGAGAGGTGGAAGTTTAACATTTTATCCTTTTCTAAGGGTAATACTTTCATTATTATCATTAAGCTGAAATAGCATAGTCTTGGACTTGGAAAAAAGGCCTTGGGTTAGAAATACACAACCAGCAGCTCATTAACTCCTGAATGCACAGCAAAAGCCAATTTACACTTCACGTGGTATGGCAGGTATGTTAGTGTTTGCTGTGTGACTGAGAGATGTGCCTCTCCAAACACAGATGAACACATGCTAGCACTGCAGCTCCCTGGTGGACCTGTCCCTGTGTGTTTAGGGATGTTGCATTCTGCCCTTCACACTTTACAGCAACCAACAACAGGCTACTCACAGGGGCATGTGAAGCGTTAATCAACTCCGAGGACTAGCTAGAAGTGTTAAGACATTTATTTTCATATTGCTGTTTCCCACATATGCCCATTAAAAATCTGCATGGCTCCTTACCTATAGATAATCATATGGGCAACTTAGCATAATTTGTCTTTTTTTATTGACACCTGAATCGTATTTCATATTTCAGAAGGCATTTGAAAATAATTATTTCAAAACAAGCTTTGCTGAGAAATAGCTTTGGAACATTGAGTTACATGGTTTCATTCAAAGTTTAGTCCTTTCAAATTCAGTAAAAAAACTTTTTGGATAAAGTAAGGTTCTGGGTGTTTTAATATTTATTTATTATTAAGTTTATATGCTGCACCTTCCTCAAGGAGCCCAGGGTGGCAAACATGGCAATACTAAAACGATACAATTAAAACTTCTAAAAAGAGTTAAAACATCTAAAATCAATCACCTACTGTCAAACTAATTATTTCAGGTTTGCCAGGGACAGAACTGTAAACCATTAAACACCTGCTTAAATAGGAATGTTTCTAAATTTCTCCTAAAAGTTAATAGTGAGGGAAACTGACAGACGGGACCACCACTGAGAAGGCCCTGTCATGGGTAACTGCCTACTGGGCAACCCTGATGGTGGCACCATCACAGGGTTCAAGTTGGTTGATATTGGAGAATGTACTCTTTTGCGTAATTAAGTCCCAAGCCATTTAAGGCCTTATATGCTAGTACTAATACCTTAAATTGGGCCCAGTAGCTCACTGGCAGCCAGTGTTGTTCTCTAAGGACCAGTGACACATGATCCATTGGGCTGCCCAACTTACCAACCTAGCAGCCACATTCTACACTAGCTGCATTCTCTGGAACATCTTCAAGAGCAGCCCTGCACAGAATACATTACAGTAGTCCAGGTGGGAGCTATCCTGAGCCAGGAACGGTCAGAGCTGGCAGACCAGCCTAAGCTTGACATAAGCCCTCCTAGCCATAGAAGCCGCTTGAGACTCCAGTGACAAGTTGGAATCCAGGAGTGCCCCGAAACTACAAACCTATTCCCTCAGAGGGAGTACAACCCCTCAAATAATAGTTGAACACCTAATTCCTGGACCCAGGAGCCACCAGGAACCAACTAAAGTACATACATACATATATACATATATACATTTACACGCACGCACACTTCAAGAGGGAGGAAGAGGAGGAGAAGAGGAGGAAGAATTAACTAGGAAAGAATGATTAGTAATACAAACCAACCCTTGGTTCATTGAGTGAAAAAGAAATCACCATGCAAACCATCAGCAAGCAAAGGTCAGAGGTCGTTAGAAGCTGAGAAAAGGGGTTTCCCATATTGTCCCTGCAGCAGAGTCACAGTTTCCAATGATCACTTTTGTGACTATGCAACTGGGCTTATATTACTAGCTGCAACATCACAAAAATGACACTGGCAACCGCTAATTAGCTGGCAAAATAAGAATTTGACCATTTTTAAAGTGAGCAGTGTTAGTAAATGCCATTGCACACAGCAAGCAGTGATAGCATAATATATATTTTAAGCAAAGCCCTCACATGTGATGCTAATTATCTTTTAGCTTAGCAGTGTCTCTTTAAAGTGTAAATGTGCTCCCTCTGGGCTCAAGGAATATTTAATTACACATTATCAGTGCATGACTAACAAGCTAGTCCAGAGTTTAAACGATTGGTCTATTGTTCAAAATAAAATTAGGTTTCTATAACCATTAAAACTGGCCAGTGTTTTCAGGAGAAGTTTCATTTATCAAGCACTGCATTCTGCATGGATATTTTAAGCTTATGGAGGGAAGAAAAATCTGCCTTCATTCACCAATTGATACTAGATTTCACAATATTTTAATTCACCTACTCAACACAATACAATCTGAAACATTGTCTAATATAGAGGAACAAAAGAAGTGCAAGCTTGTTGTTTTCAGAATCTCACAAAATTTGCTTCCAGGAGTGAAAAATGCACATATATTTCAGAAGCTCTGGGACAAGCTAATTCGGGGGGGGGGGGGTGTCCAATTTTTCTTGGTGATATTTTCTTAGTTGTTTATATTTGCATCTATACATACATACCTATGTAAGCATATAAATATACATACATTTACAAATATATATTTGTATATAAACATGTTAGATGCGTGTCAAAACATTAAAAGGATGGGAGTCACACTTAGTAAGACGACTATCTATCTGTAGTTGCAAAAAAAGGAAAGTAGCTAAGCCAGAGGTACTTTTTTCTGAAAGTGTGAGACATTAAATTTCAATATCAAGGGAGGCAGAGTATTTATTGCTCTGGCTGATCTTAAATTGCTTCAGCTGTAAGGTAATTACGATTGTCAATATACTTAAGTTCCCTTTAAAAAGAGCATGGAGGGTTTTGTTTCCCTTAAAATATATAAAATTGATTCTATTTAAAAGCAAACAAACTGTGAATAGCTTTTAAACCTTTACCTGAAAAGCACCTCCACTACATATAGATTACATTTTCATTTTATTTTCTTTTAAAACCAGCTGGCTTCTAACTCAGTCACTCCAACCTCTACTCCTGTGGCCTTTTGCCCTTGACGGAGCATTGAAAAAGGGCTTGTAACCTTTACCCCTTGGTGACTGCAGCAAGAAGAAATTCTTGCTGTCTACCAATGCTGGTGTTCTGATTTTGATTTTTTTTTTTTTAGCTGAAGTAAGCAAAACCTGGATATGTAGAACTGCAACACTGGTACTTAATGCAGAAACCTCAAAAATCTGTGGGTTGGATTCAGATTAAGTTAATCATACCTAGTCATGACAAATCCCACTAATTTAAAAGCAACTAAGTTAAGTCAGGATTCAACCGTGGGTCTTTATGTAGCCTGCAAACATAAATCAACATGCGCAAAGCTTTTCAAGACGCAACTGTAAGCCACATAGACCATTCCCCCTTTTAAATGTGCCAGTGCGCATTTTTACGACATGCCTCATAAGAGCATTTATTTAAGAGTGCAAGTTCAGAGGACTCAGCAATGGTATTTTAATCAGAAGTAGCATTACATTGAAGAACTTTCATATAAGCGATACTGCGATTTGCACATTCCAATGAACTAGCGTGAGACTGTCAATGAACTCTGCTAAACAACATCTTAGCATACCTTCAAAATGCGAGGAGGGACAGTCCTTAGAAACAATGTGGAATTTCAGAAGCTACCTAGGCAGTTGGAATATCAAAAGCAATACCAGGCCACTACCCAAAACTAGGCAGCAGATTCTTGTTGCGAAACAACTGTGAAAGTGACCAAAAATGTTTTCAGTACACACGGTAGCCTGGAAATGGCACTCCTAACCCTAGGAGGTCTGGGATGGAGAGGGTTAGGTAGACTAGCACACCTCATGGCTTCTCAACCCACAAGAAGCAGCTACTTTAGTATCTACTTTTAAGATGATTCTCCTATGAGATGCTTTCCCTGGCATCTTTAATCTTCATATTTAACCTAATTCTAATTCATGCAATTGGTTCATTTTGCTTGATGCCCCGAGCAGGGCATGGTGACATTACCTTGACACATTGGCATGACTTTAGCAAAAGAGCTCCATGCATGAACTGCACCTGAAGGCAGACACATGCAATGCCAATGCCTGGCTGTGCAGGCAAAGTTTCCCTACTGTGGCCACTGCATATAATGCAAACAAACACCTTATGCATAGATAAAATCGCTGCTTTAGATTCCAAGTCAGCACACTGATCATGGTACTAAAAATACAGTGTGCCATTGTTTACTTACACACAGAATCCATTTGCACCACTACATCTGCCTACAACTCCATGGCTAACATAGCATTCAAAGCATCCACTGGTTTAGGATAATTCGTTGGTTCCCGACCGGGTTCTTAAGTGGGATTATTTCTTCTGCATGGCAGTTTTTAAAAATGTGAAATTATGGGCAGCTATTCAACCTAGAAAGAAATTGGGGGGGGGAGGGATTCATATATCCGAGTTTCCTTATGAACAACTTTTGATGGCATTTTAGGTGGCACTCAGAAACAGTCCCAGAAGCATGTCTGATTCACCAGCCACTATGCACCTAACTTAAAACTATTCACTCTTTGTGTTGTACCTGCGAAAATCCAGAAGGGACCTTGTGGAAGTGGGCACTTTCTGGTCATGCCAGGTAAGGAAATGGAACTGTGTCACGGTTCGAGTCTCATTGGTTTGTAGGTTTTTCAAGTAGAAGCTTCTCACAAGGAAATCTTCACACCAAATGTGCTCTGAGACCAGATTTACCTGCCATTGCACAAAAAATAAATAAATAAGTGAATTAAATATGGAATACAGCAGATAATCACACACATGGCATGATCTATTGGGAATATCTGACATTTCAAAATATCCTCTTTTGGACAGGGCTTGTTTGAGTGGGCTTATTTAGGAATTTTTCTTATTTTGCTTATTACTTGAAATTTATTTTCTTTTAACTCAAATACATATTTTTGACAATCTGCTTTGATGGGAAAAGTTGTCTGAACTTAAAATGCCACTTTTCCAAGCAAAAAAAGCCCACATAAAATAGCCTATACTATTAAACTAGCAATAAACACAATAAAAAATCCTTATTATCATAAACAACACAATAATAAAATGCTACAAAACGTGGGTGCTACCCACCAGAGAAGCAAGAAGGAGGAGCTTCTCACAAGAGCCCAATGAAATCTCATGAAACTCTCACAGGATCCCATGGGGCTCTTGTAAGATCTCTCTGGAGCCTAGAGGTTGACCCACTGACCCAGGTAAGTGAGGCTTCAGTGGGGGTTTGGGGGCACAGAACAACAACTTTCCTAGTTTGCCTCACACACTGAAATGGACTAGACCGCCCCTGCTGTTTGGGCACAGAGAAGTAATGTGACTCGAGTTATTTGATGAACAGCTGGTTAGTCTTAATAACTTTAAAAAGTGTTTTGTATCTCAAGCCTAAACATTTGTGCTGGATGGACCTAGCATTGCCAGTGGCAAGGGATATGCTTTTCATTAAGGCTCTGGATTCAACCCTAGACACCTTGAAGCTTTGAACACAATACTGTACTACATGGACCAGTGGTCAGGCACAGCATAGCAGTTTTAAATACAGTGGTACCTTGGTTTGCATATGTCTTGGTTTGCAAACATTTTGGATCACAAACAAGTCAAAAGTGCATGGTTTTGCAAACTTTTTTTGGATTACAACCTATTTTTTTGGGATTATGAAAAAAAATATTGGAGGCCCCATTGGCGAAAGTGCGCTTTGGGTTACAACCTGTTTTGGTTCACAAACGGACCTCTGGAACGGATTATGGTTGTAAACCAAGGTACCATTGTATTCCCAATGCAGAATCAGGCCCCTGCGATACCAGAACAGGATTGCTACAGGATGGCAATTGGTTCATTCCATTTACAAATAGGATTTGATTTTGATTTAAGCCTATTAATTCTGCTTAAATCCAAAAACTCTTATCTTAAGTTGTTTTAATACGATCACCAGTAATTCAACCTAATTTAGGCTTATATATATCTTAGCAAATATATATCTTTGCTTCTTTATCCTGCTTTAACATTAAGCAGAATCAGAGCTGATCCTGCACCAAAGAAAGTGAGAGAAAGTGAGAGAAACACACACATGTGTTGTAGGAGATGCAGATGGCCCTTCACACCTAGAAGCAGACACAGATAATGCCTAGAGAAACAGATTCACTATCCATACTTAAGCATGGTTGGTTCAATCAATTTCTGCTCTGCATGTATTCATGCCCCATTTCTGCACATATGCATTTTAAAAACAAACCATGAATGCAAATTACTCATTTATAGCCTTTATTTTAACCCTATGCACATTTTTTTTCATTTTATCCTAAAATACAGAATTAAAATGTATTTTGAGTTGTTTGTTTTTTAAGCCAAGAAGTGCATGGCAAAATTTGGAGTAGGGTGAAATGCAAAGGATAATGACATTAGAATCCACACCTCAACGTACAGGAGGTGCTGTTCGAGTTAAGTTTGCATTCACAAATAGGAAATTCCTTAAACATCTCTATCGAATGTGACTACTGCTTCTTGACGATCTGAGACACACAAAAAGAGGTCTGCCCTACCAGTCCCCACTGAATTCTTCCTCTCCCCCCGCCACTTGTGTATAATAAACTCTTCCCCTATGCATGTAGAAGTCAACAACTATGGCTGTTTGACTTATGCATAGAATCAAGCTGGAATCTATAGATACAAAGCAGAGTGAGGCCATATTTGTTCAAGAAGTGTTGCCATTAGTTATTGCTTATTCCAAGTATTTCCGTATAGTATAACCTGGCAAGACAATTTTACACACAGGAAACAAATTTTGCTTTAACTGACTTAACATGGCCCTGCAGATGTTGCTGGACTACAACTTCTATCCAGCCCTGACCATTAGGCATTTTGGCCAGAGCCCATGGGAGTTGGAGTTCAATATCTGGAGCATTATGGGATCCCCATATCTGTTTTAATAGAAACAACAGTTGCAGAGGACCTGCCTGCAACAAAAAGTGGTAAGGATGGAAACTTTAAAAGGTACCTATTTGGGTCCAGAGGGAAGCCCCACTGATGTATAAATGTATCTGGTTTTCAGCAGCTCATTACTGGTCAATTTGTCATAATATACACATTTTTGCAAAGCAAAAATTTAATCCCTAATACGTTTTTGTGTGTTGTTCTCAAGTGAACAGAATGAGAAAGATGGTGGAGGTCTACCTGCTATGCACTATCTGTTAGGAATTATGGTTGAAATTAGGTTTCGCTCAGGACTTGGCACCCTATATTATTTAGTAAGCTTTTATAGCGGACTCACAATGCCTGGTCCAGATTGCTGCAGCCACCTCAGTGCATTCTGCTATTTGGGGTGTCGCAGCTATGTACATCTACAGTTCTGAATTGAAAAAATGCTAAACAAAAATTAGCTTAATTATCAAAATCATAGGTAGGCCTTTTGATAGGGTGGGGAGCCTACAGCTGCTGTTAAATATTTATAGGCACAATATTTTCTTATAATGTATACATTTTAATTCCCCCCTTATTTGTATTTTAAATGTGTGTGCATCTGTGTGTGTGTGTGTGTGAGAGAGAGAGAGAGAGAGAGAGAGAGCGCAAGCACATTCTAATTTTCAAACCTCTTTGGTCATGTATATATTTAGAATCTGCACAGAATTGCTTTCCTGCTAACCGTTCTATCAAGATATGCATAGAATTTTCAATGAAGCTGAAATGATTCAAGAACCACAAGATTGCATTTTATGGTAGACCTCAGCTCAGTTTGCAGGTCAAATCCCATTAAGCAATATTTTCCTCTGTATGAAATCAATCCACACACTTACTGTCAGGTTTACAAGCAGATATTTTGTTTAAGTACCTCGTAGATATGGTAGAGGTTTGACCCTTCATCTGGCCAATAGTGGTAGCACTGTTTGACTCCGTTTTCAGCAAGGGGTGTCAGCATGACAATAACGACACAGCCGTTTTCCCAGACCATCTGCACACAAAGAAAGACACCGTGGCCACACTGTGACTGCCTAATTACTGCATGACATGTATAATTACGGCACTCAGACACACAATCGAAATTTATTCCATTCACAGGAAATGTATTTCATTTTCATTAGACACTTTTCTCTGCAGCTGCTTCCAAATCTCTGAATAAACTAGCGTCATATTTTGCATGTTCACATGAAATATTAAAAGAATCTCCAAAGAATTCCTCCAAATACTTCTAAAATAAATTCTACGCCTTTCTTTACAATTATCTCCAGTTCTTTTTCACTTTCACACTCCCAATTTGCAGAGGAAACAATAGTGCTTTTCGTAGAAAGTCTGCTGCATCATATTTGGTTGCAGTACGCAAACCCAATATGGATGTGTGTAATTAACAAAATAGCAGCAAAATCTGTCATGCTAAGTCAAAGAGAAATGCTGCTTCTTTTAGATGCCTGTCATGTTAAAAGATAATCAGTTGAGCTGTCATATTAATGCTAGAAAAACAGCAGACAGAAAAACAAAAACCAGTTGCCTTCTGGAGTTGTATTGGTGTAATACTTATTCTTCCCCTCCCATCCCAAATGAATCATCCTACAATAAGTCAATGGGTTTACTCAGTAGCAAAAATCGACACTACAGGTTTCAGATTTTACTCATAAAATTTTCAAGAAATACATGTAAAATAAAATATAATGCAACCTACCCTCTGGGCTATATTTCCCCAAAATATACAGATATCACCATGAACATATGATAACAAGGAAACTTCAACAGTGGGACTGTTTAATAATGTAGCGTCGCCCCAGAGCAAGCAAACAAGAATCTAAGGCACTCTCAATTAAAGGTCCGCTAGATGTTATTCATAGAAGCAACAAAACAAGCTAGGGTAGTATATCTGTGCTGGAAAAACAGCCTGTTGTTGAACAAAAACCCTCCTGAATTAATATGGAGCTGCATAATCAAGAAAAGTCTTCATTATTGTGGTGTACATTGATGCTATATTTGCATGCAATTTCCATTGTCTTTTTATTAGCATACAAAATTATCTCATGAAAAGGAAATTGGACTTACTGCAAAGGGTTACGTTTATTTCGCAGAAATATTTATAAGCAACTGCATTGAAATGTAAATGGAGTAAACAAGAAAAGGGGGCATTTGGATAAGAAGCACAGGGATGTTACATTCAATTAAAAGCTTCCTTCTTTGTGGCACAGGGATTTATTTTTACCTTAATTTCATTTGCTTTATTTACACAACAATGACTCTTTTTAAAAGGAAAAAAGGAGGAAAAAGCCTTTGTACAAATTTTGGATAGCATTAAGACAAAGACAAAGGTATATTGTAACGCTAGGGACTACTTTTACACACTTTTATTGTACAATCTCTCTCTCTGGAAAGAGTAAAACTTTCTATGCTGACCCTGTATTCCCAAAGTGATTTCTTGGTTCCACTGAAATCAGACAGTATACATAATCTTGCTGCAAATACTTAACAATGCAAAAATAGTATGTTGGATCAAAAGCAATGAATAACGACTAAGGGTCGTTTTTCTATTTCCTTAAGAGGTTTTTTATTAATTTCAGCAAAACCTTGAATTGAAAGATGCTGCCAATTACACCAGTTCATACACTCCATTCCATAGAATTCTACAGTCTCTCTCTCTCTTATTTTAACTGTATCTGTACTATAGGAAAAATGAAACCCCACCACAAATTGGCCAGGCTAGCTGGTGCTTCTATCATATAACGATTTAATGTGCCTTTAGAAGGTATAGAAGCTCAATGAAGCCATTACGAAAATGAGGAGAAACACGGTTTTTATGAGTGCAATAAAAACACAATGATCTAGGTCATAAACTAATCATCCAGCAGTTGCTTGTGCCACCCAAGTGTAACATTATGAAAGCCCACTCATTTAGAGAGAGGGAGAGGAATCCTTACAGTTTGGCATCCCTTTTCCATGGGCTTAAAAAAAGAAAGAAAGAAAGACACAGGGAGAACAGCATTTCATTACAGAGGAACTTCCTCAAATCTCTGAAAATTTCCTTAAGCATAAATCCAAATGAAAGTTAATTTCAACAAACAATTTCAAATTTACTCTAGGGTACCATATTTCTTTCCAAGTCATGTTATGAGGTACATGACACTCAACGCTATCAACGCCACAATTGAATTCTAACAATGGAATTCTAGGATATTGCAGTCATATTTAACACTTTGATGTCTATACCATTTCCCCATTAACCCCACCTCCCCAACATTTTCTCCTATCTTTTTCCCTAAGCTAATATTTTATTAGCAATATAATTGATGTTGGGGGAAAATACAACTTAGACTTCTAATAATATTTAGGTATTTATTTTATTTATTAAGTTTATATACCATTCTAGCATGTTGCTCTTTGAGAAATTCCCAATGTATATAGAAACACTATTATCACTTTGACGCCTGCTTCCTGATTCATATGCTTCACAATAAGGCCAGTCTGTGGTGCCCTCATTCTTCTGTAAGAATATATGTTCAAAGGACCAAGTGGAACATTTGTAATGGCTGACCAGGTAGACTAACTGCTACAAATTAACTAAAGATGGATGTCTAATATAATGTGCTATTAAACATCTGCATTAAATGTTCTTTGCATTTGTCTCCCATTCCCATCTCCTACCCCAAACATAGAAGAACCTCCCTCAACTCCCTTTTAAAATGAATCCAATCCAGGCACACAGCACGTCTGTCACCTAACTGTACCTCTTCTGGGATCACTTGTTCAAAATCTTGCTGTATACATGGAAAGCCAACAGATGTTGTCGCTGGATTCCACCTGTGGGCCTCAGTTCTGAATGGGCTTGTGCTTGCATGCAAGTTGCGACATGACAGACATTCAATCTTTATCTAGCTTCATACCCACAACCAGGACCCAGCACTTCTTTATTACCAAAGGAGACCTGGACCCTGACAATGGGCAGGTGCCTAGTTTGGATCATTCTGGGAAGCAACCACTGAATTCCATGGGGAAGGTGGTGGAAGCCCAAGGGACTGAGAAACCTCCATCCCTACTGCTAAAAGTTCTCTTGCTCATGCCCTCAGACAGATGCTTCCCCCAACATGTTCTGCAGCTATGCAGATACTGCCTTCACAACGACATGAGTCTGAGAGGCAGCAGGAGACTTGATAGTACCCCCTGAAGTTCATACCAAGCACAACATCCAAACTTTGTCATTAGAACAGAGCAAACCAGGAGGCTGGAGACATCACTCTGAAGGGCTATTTCACTCCTCAGTAGCCCCCAGAAAGGCTTTCCTAAAGCACCCTAGCTTTGCTTACTCATCACCTCTGTTGCCACCTGGTTGACTTCATTGTTTTTACGCTGGTGCCTAAATAACTGCAAAGCTGATCCTGGGCAAATTCTCTGGAGCAGGAAGTTCTACAGGTGGAACACTATAGCTGCGCCCAATTGAAGACCTCAGCGGATAAAGTGAGCGTCTAGGAGGGCTGAAATCAAGGAGGGGTTCCTTTAGATTCCTATGCAGTCCTAAGTAACTAGGGAACCCAGGTAAGGACTTGTATCTTGAACTGGTCTTGTAAACCGGCAGCCTATGAAGCTCTTTCAAAACTAGCAAGACAGGTTCCCACAAAGATTCCCCAGTTCAAATTCAACATTAAAAAAAATCTTAGGGAACATTGAAAATAGTAAGATATGGGACATGTTTAGCTCATGGCTGTTGCTTTCCATAGGACTGAAAAGCAACATCAGGATTAGCCTTTAAAAAGCAAGTTTCCTCACAACTACCCTTCCTAACTCAGGCCAACCAGATATCCTAATTTCAATTTTATGGACTTTGGCTATTAAAGTACTGCAGAGAAATAAGGAGAAGAGCACTGGTTTGACTGGTTTGCAACACTAAGTAAAACCCCACTGATAGAGAGGTACAGGTTATATTTTGGTTCCCCCATAAACTTCCCTTCTTGTCCAACCCATTCACAATTGCGAGGCTGATCTACTCCATAGTAGGGTTGTTCTGCTATTACTGCGGGCCCATGGGAAAATGGGTCATCAAGCTGCATAAGTGCTACCTGGATACCATGGGCCTTCAAATGACACCTCTTTGGTGTAGAGCAACTTGGGCTTTTTGGTGTTAAGTATTCCTTATTTTGCAATCATAACCCCCCCCCCAATGAATTCAAGGTTTTCTACCCTGGGAGAATCTGAAAAGCACAGCAAAACAAAAAGCAAATCTGCTGCCCATTCTCTTCAGTTAAGGGGGTGCCAGAAAGATCCATTTGCAATGGAAGCAGAGGTGGGTAGGTGCAATCCAGAGCTTGCTAGGTTTGCAAAGTGCAAGGAAAAAGAGTATTTTTTTTCCTTCTTCCACACTTCCAGCTACACACTGAAGACTGGGACCCAAGTGGGGTGGGGGAGGTGAACTATGGCTTTGTTTTTGACATAGGGTGCTGATTTGTGTTTGGCCCACCTTAAATCTTTTTAAACCTTGCAAGTGTGTTGGAATTCTGAAATTCCAACAAGCAGCAGTTTTGAATACAGTGGTACCTCACAAGACGAATGCCTCGCAATACAAAAAACTCGCAAGACGAAAGGGTTTTTGGTTTTTTGAGTTGCTTCGCAAGACGATTTTCCCTATGGGCTTGCTTCGCAAGACGGAAACGTCTTGCAAGTTTGTTTCCTTTTTCTTAACACCGTTAATACAGTTGCGACTTGACTTCGAGGAGCAACTCATAGAACGTGGTGTGGTAGCCTTTTTTTGAGGTTTTTGAAGACTTTGGTGATTTTTGAAGCTTTTCCAAAACTTTTCCGAAACCGTGCTTCGCAAGACGAAAAAATCGCGGAACGAAATAATTTCGTCTTGCGAGGCACCACTGTATCTTAAGTCTTAAAGAAGCAACGGTGAATCAGCTGTTTGGTTCATGAAACAGTGGTCAGGATTTGGGATTCTGCCCTTGTGTGAACCTCCCCCTAGTCTGAAACACACACACACATATATAGGAACTTGCAAATATTCTGGGTGGTATTCAACTAACTTTTACTCAGAGTAGACCCACTAAAATTAATGGACCTAAGTGAGGCATATTCACTAATTTCAATGGATTTACTCTGAGTAAAGCTTAGGTAAATATGACCCTCTTTTCTTTTCTTTCTTTCTTTCTTTCTTTCTGCCCCCAACTCAGTTAAGGATTTAATGGGGAAAGGTTTATATAACATGAAATGCTAAACTTTAAAAACCACCTATTTGGGTCCGGAGGGAAGCCCTACTGATGTATAAAAGTATCTGGTTTTCAGCAGCTCTAGGCTTGCATTACAAAGTACTTGAAAAATTAGAAAATTGCATTAGTGGCAAGCAAACGACATATTCCAAGGAATAAGGCCATATCTGGATCGTAGCACACTTCCCTAAACCTCCTGGTAGGAATTGAGTGACTGCTACTTTTCCTTGGGGTTTCCATGATGTTCTCTTCTCAGCAGATCCTAGGTAGGAACCATTTTTCATCTCAGTTCTCCCTTCTCCCACCCCAAATTTGACAACCCAATTGTCACCTCAAATTCTGCTGATATCCATTCTATTCCCACAGCCCAGGCTTGCTTCAACTTGGCATACTAAGATTCCACACACAGACGCATTCAGCACAGCAAAAATTGCTCCATGGTCCTTCAGGAGAACCTTTCAGCCTTTTTGTGATGTGAGGTAGGGGCATGTTTCACCCTAATACGCAGACCCCGCCTGCACGTCTGCGGAGTGTACATTGAACCGAATCCATTTGTCCACAAACAAAATCACCGCCATAGCTATACCCAACCCAGTGCAGGTTTTTAATATTACATGTATGATATTACAACCCTGTATTTTGCTGCAGCTCGCAATACTGTTATGCTTAAGATGTAGTTAGAAATGTATATGCAATTGTGAAAGGACGGCTGCAGCATGAACCAGCAGAGCATCTGATTGGTATGCAGAACTTCCCAAGTTTGATCCCGGACATTTCCATTAGGACTGGGAATGTTCCATTTGAAACCCTAGAGAGCCACGGCCAGTCAGGGTAATATTAGCCTAGATGCACCAATGGTCTGGCTCAGGGTGAAGCACCTCCCTATGTTCCTAAAAGCAGTTCAACAAAGGCTTTTTACCTGCCAGAAGTCTGTGACCGTAGAAGGCAGGGCGCCCTGAGCAGCTATATAAGCAGGGTTCCTAGGATCATGGTCCATCTGAAAAAGGAAAAAGCAATTAGACGCAGTGCTCAATATGAACAGAGAGGGAGAGAAAATTGCCACAAAACAGCGAAAATAGCAGTTTTGCAGTGCATTAGTGAACTGATCAACTAGGAGAGCACTTCTCTTGAAAGGAGGAAAAAGTCTGTTATTTCCTTTCCTCAGAATAAGAGTTCCTTTCTCCAGCAGAACAGGATGTGTCGTCTAATACTAAGATGTCACAAGATCAGCGATCTATGTTCTAAATATGTAACGTGAAATCATTTAAGGAGCATTCGCTGACAAAAAAAAAAAAGCATTTACTCGGGGTTTTCAGTCTCATAGCAACCTACGAGCCACTTCAAAACATTTCTCAACGCAAAGCATTAGGGATGCTGGGCACATTTAAGCATCTCTTTCCATTTCTGTCATAGCACTCAAGGGCATCTAGAAACAAGCCAAAACTGAAGAACAAACTCAATCCTGGCCTTTTCTGGTCAGTTTGTTTGTTTAAAAATGCAGGCTTCTAACCCTCAATAAAAGAAGTTCTGTTTAAAGACCTTAATTATTACATCTATTTCAAAGAGTGACTGAGTAGGGGAAAAAGAGATCCTCAGAAACAAAGCTACGGAGAGTAAATAGGATTAGGTCGTTACAATGAGTGTTTTCAAACAGATGGGTGGGTTTTCTGGTCTTAAATCTTTGGCCCCATTCTCCTGATAAGGACAAGATTGGCTGATGGGAATTTAAACACAAGGAAAACAACAAAAACCCCATTGATTGTAATCCTTAGAAAGAATTAAAACACACACACACACTCATGAACAAGGCTGACATTATGCTTGCAGTTGCAGGAGCACAAATCTCAATTATTTCAACAAGTGCTAAATTGTACTGAGCAGTGGAATCCACCCTCACCCCCCAAAAAAAAGTTTTATCAAAATTTTAAGCAACAGCAGATAGCAGCAGCCTGTAACACTCAATATATTAACATTTATAAACACAAGTCAGCTGTTCTAAGGCGAAACCACTTGTTAGGTGAGAGATTGGTGATTGCATTTTCCAACTTGTTTGGTTTTACTTTTAATGGGGTTGTAGTTGTGTGAGTTTGCTGTGCTTTTAAAACACACACACACACACACACACACACACACACACACACACACACACGTTTCCAATTTAAAAGGCCCCTGTACTGCTGTTTGTCCCCCAGGGAAAAATTATAGATGCTTGTATTTGTGTTTTCCCTGTGTAACACATGGCAGCGTGGGGTTTTGTTTGGGAAAATGGCCTGGAATGAAATTCTGGAGCAATTTCCCCAGTGCTGCATTTCCATTTTTGTTTTTAAAAACCTGGTGATACAATCACAGATCTCCTAACTCAGGCCTGGATTATTCATTACTTTCAGAAGCTCTCTTTTACTTGTGGAGTCGTTCTGCCTACATGATCGGTATCATGTTCAGCCAGGAGTTTTTGGACCTTGGCTGCAACCAATTCCATGGCATCAACACCACATTTCATATTTTGTGGTCCACTGGATTCAACACATAGTACATTGACCAGGACCCAAAAGCTATTTTAGGCACATCCAATGGTTTTGGGATGCGCAGTGCAGTTTCTAAATTATTTTGTTTGAACATCAGTTTCCTATGTGGTATCACAAACTGCTTCTTAAAAACCCCTAAATTTCACCTCTTGGTATGCCTCTAGGCGATTTGAAGCAGATTGGTTAAGATTTCTCCTGATTAACAATAGCAATAGCATATTCCATAATTTCAAATGTAGCACACAATATCCATTAGGGTGTGCATTACAGGCCAAAATATACATTGGGAGCATGGAACTAGTTGTGCAGTTCTAGGTCTCCCTTAGCCACTACTCATTTGAGTGGGTGGCTCCCATTATTGAAAGAAATGGCAAAAAAACAGATACCTGAAGCACCTCACAATAATAAAATATAACACATTTATATATATATTTTTAAAACCTCAGTATAATTTGTAACACATGCTTGCTGCTTCTAGTAGATAATGATTCAGTTTTGTTTTATTTAACAACTTTATCATATCCAAAGTAGAAGGTCACATTCATTTATTTACACGACCACATTTGGAAGTGCTGTGCTTCTTTCATAACCCTTTTTCCCTCCTGAAACACATAACAAAGCAAAAATTGGAGCACAGGTAAAGGGAACACTGGCCTTGAGGAAGGAGATGCGGTGGCCTAACCAGCCTAGAATCACTGGACATCATTTGCAATGGAAGAAGCCTGCAGGGTGTCGCCTAAGGCGTAGTCTACACTGCAGTAGTTGGAAGGTAGTTTGGCACCTGCTGGTAATTTGAAGTAGGGTTTCTCTCAATTGCTTGCCAAATAGCAAGAGCAAAACAACTTTCCCCATCTAAATCAGATTGCCTAAATGAAGGACGCTAAACAGGCGCGGACTTTTATGTGTGAGCTTGCTTCAGTTCTAGCACTGGAAAAAAATATCTCTGGGTCAGAATATCCTGAGACACCCCACAATTTTGCCCCAAGTCTTTAGCAGATAGAAGTCTATCTGGGCTGGTAGATCTTGGTGTTCTCGTGGGTAAAATGGCATGTCTGAAGTGTTGGTCCAAAAGATGCTGTTGGGACTCTGGCTCCAATGGCCAGTGGTCAGGAATGACACAAAGCTGCACTCCAGCATCATCTCAAGGGCCACAGGTTAACCACCCCTGGTACAGGCAAGCAGCTCATCACCACAAAAGCTCATTACTAAAACCATTTCTGCACTGGATTACTTCAGACTGCTGGCAGGACTTCGCAAGTGTGAAAACACTTTTGTGCGTGCGTCGGGGGAGAACGGACCCTTACACATGGAAAACTAGAATGATGAGATTAAGGATAGACTACAACTGGGGTAGCCAACATGATGCGCTCCAGATCTAGCTGGACTCCAACTCCCATCATCCCTGACCACTGGCCATGCTGGCTGAGACTGATGGGAGCTGTAGTCCCAACTACCTCTTGAGGGCATCATATTAGCTGCCCCTGGACTGTAGGGTGGTAGAAATTTTTGCCCTTGTAGGCAAGACATTGGATTACATGGCATTTGTTTGTTTCTACTTGTCCATTCCTTATGCTGACATTTCAAATGGTGCGAACTTTGTGAATGAAAGGGGGGAAAGTGAAGCTGTGTGTATTCATTCACAGTGTAAAGAGAATAGGCAAGCTGAATCAGTGATGAGGTGAGTGCCACTGTCATGGAAGAAATACTTCTAAACCCTCCACTGTTTGATAAATCAGGAAAGGGCCACTCCTGGCCTTACAGTATAAATCAGCTGTTGTCAGAAAGCTGCAGTTTGAGCATTACAGACATCATAATGAGGAAAGACCGGTCAAACGTATCATCAAGTTAACAATAACACAGACATTTGCAATTATTATATTCTGGTGCACAGAAAGCGGCTATGGAGAAGACACATGCAGGTTAGGATTACTAGTTTGCATGAAGAAATAGCTGGGTCACTTTCAAATTTGCATGTATTATATCACTTCAATGAATGTAAATGTTTAAATTGCCTGTTGTCTACTACTGATGCGGAGCAAAACAAAGAGGAGAAAGGTTATCAGTCTCACTAAAAACTGGCATTGCCTAGTGTGCGTATGTTCTCAGAGGATATCAAAGATGGCAAAAAAAGCTTTCTTCTCTGCTAATAAATGAATTTACAGACCCCTGCCAAGATTAAACTAATTGAAAATAATAATGCATGCCTTTATTAACTTGCGTGTTTTAAAATTCCCAATGCTAAATATATTTGGGGGGATTTGGATATTAACTCACAATTTGCACTCTGTTCAGCTGAAATGCAAAGATCTAAATAGATGCACAGCCTATTAAACTACTTTGGATCTCATGATAATAACATGCACAATGGCAGCAAAAGTGCTGCTGTATGTGCGGAAAACTGTCCAGTTTTGTTCCACTTGGTTCTGAGGTTTGTAAATTTATTATGGTTGCAAACACAAAGACCCCTGGATACAGGCTGCCATTAGGACGCTTAACAAAACCACACCAGCATGGAACTTAAACTTGCATCAGGATGCTGGCAATCTAGTTTGCTAGGTCCGGCATGGGCAGGTCTGGCCCAAGACACCTGAGGCAAACCATAAAATGGAGGAAAGAAGGGGGAGTGAAGATCTACATTGGAAATAAGGACAGGGAATAAAGTCAACCTTGCCCAATCTTTGAAGGCAGGCGCATAGCCCAGCAGACCCCAGAGAGCAGCTCTCGCCATTTCCTCTCTAGATGTGGGAGGAGACTATCAGTGCCTATTATTCACTGAGAGGCCACTGTAGAGGCAGTTGCCTCACCTTGCCGCACGGGTGGGCTGGCTGGGGTTATGGGCAAGCAAGAGTTAACAAGATCAGATCCAGCTGATACCAGGGTAGGCAAGCAGGCGAGAAGCAAGTTCTGAGAAAGGTTTCAGGTTGCTCAGGAAGATGGTTCACAAACGGTACAGGGAAGCAGACATAGAAGTCCACCTCTGGTCCTCCTCCTGCTGCACTGACAAACCATGAGCTGAAAACCTAAGAGCAAACCTTGGTTACAGCTCACGGTTTGCCACAAGCCCAGCTTCAGATGACATGCTAATCCAAACCATGGCTTAGCTCGCAGCAGAATCGCAGGAGAAGTAAAGCGGCCACAATCTCCTCTCCGGGAACTGGTGTGTTTATGCTAAGCTTGCCTTAAAGTTATGCATGGGGAGTGTGAGGGGAGAGACTCCATCCGGCAAGGCCTCCTTCCACCTGCCTTGCTCCACCCTCTAGTCTCTGCTTCTCAATTTGTATTGTATTATTTTATGTACTGTGGCTTGCCGTTGTTTTCTTGATTAGAAATTATTTATTGTAACTGTTGAGTGGTTTTCTGTTTAACTTTTATATCTTGTTATTATTTTATACTATTCTAATAATTGTTGAATGTTACTTTTTTGATGTAGGTTGCTTATTTTAAAGTTTTGTTTTATTATCACATTTTTGTAGTGCATTAGATTGTTATAAGATGTACAGTTTTTGTTTCTTCAGCTTGTAAACCGCCTTGAGTATTGTAAGATAGAAAGATGGTATACAAATTAAAAATGATGATGATGCGTGACTAGAGTAGGTTCCAAGTCAAGAAAGGTTAGTCAACACCTCTTGGTTCTTCTCCTCCTCCTCCTCCTCCTCCTCCTTCTTCTTTTGCTGAGTCAGTGTAGTAAGAAGTTGCTGCCCCACCTACAAACCTACAAACCATTAACTGTTCTTAACCTGAGGTACCACTTTAGCTAATGGGGCCTCCTGCTGCCACCACACGATTTCTGTTCTCATCCTGAAGCAAAGTTCTTAACCCGAGGTACTATTTCTGGGTACCTGTAACCTGAAGCGTCTGTAACCCGAGGTACCACTGTACTGAGTTGGGGCTGGAGAGATTCAGGTTCAAAACCAACTCATCCATAAAAGCGACTTGAGGGAAATCCTATGTGTGTTGCCCTGGAGAAAAGGGCAGGATAAAAACTTGAAAGGGTAAACTTGACAGGCAGTGAATGCCCTGGGTAGTCAGTCACATTTGTCTCAGCCATGCCTCATTCTACGCTGGTGGGGCATGGGCGAAGTCCTGAGATAAGAGTCAAAAAGCAGCAGTACCATCAGGCCAAAGACCAGAGTCAAGTCCTGGCAGTGGAGCAAAGGCACAAGCTGGAACATTATCCTGATGCCAGAATAAACCTTTCAGCCAAATCCTTTGAACCACTGAAGGTCATTCGGGATCTTAGCACCACTGAGATCAATTTGCTCAAATTCACGTTAACTAATATAACCCAGCTGGAAACATCAACCAATAAAAGCTTAGCACAAAATGTTTAGGCTGCTTAAGAGTAAAGTTTCTGAACAATCCCTGAGGGCATCTAGATATTCTGAGCACAGAAACAATGGAGAAGTGTTGTTAAATGAAATCTGTATGTTGTGCCAAAACGTCTCGAACATCAAAGCACAGCTTCTCTCTCTACACTAAGAAATTATCACTACAGATAGATAAATCGGAAACGGTCACAAAGTTCATTTTAGAGAATAAGACAGCAAATAATTGGCTCATTAGGACAAATATCAACGTTTTTTGATCTGCAAAGGTTTAGGAAGTTTAGACTATAAATTTTTTTAAAAAAATTTACACACATATAGTTGGTAGAGTCTATTTTTTTTTTAAATGTATAATTACATATGTTTACTTCTCACAAAATTATCATTTTTCACAGCTGCTCCAGCAAGCCAGGAAGAGAGCTAGTCTACCACATATCCAGAGTTTCCATGATAATACATGTGACTAAGGATCACTTGAACCAAAGCAAAATTAACAGCTCTGATTCTGGTATCATACGAGGAAGAAGGAATAATCGAAAGACGCCCAAAAGAACCATCTGCCTCGTTCCAACTTATCAGAAGAGAACTCCTGCAGGGGATCAGATCAAACCACCTCTAAACCTAAGATGTTTTAATTCCATGTCATCTAAGCGCTCTCCCTGCCTGTCCCCAAATTAAAATTGATTGACAATTCCTAAACTAGAGAACACCACACTGAATACAAATACATTGTTATAATCAATTCTATCTGAATTTTTAAAATATGTATGTCAATTCTTTTTGCATATTTATGCTGCCCCCAAGTAAATGCTAAAAATGCTAATGTGTAAAAGATTCAAATTTTTTTATATTTAGAGACAGTGTTATTTTATCCTTCTGTTTTAACAAACTTCATGCATATGCTTCTGCACTAAAAAAAAATCTAGATATGAATAAAAACAATGCTCCACCGCTTACCAAGGGAATAATAAGAAAAGATTTGATATTATGCCATTATTTATTGTGATAAAATCTTATTCAAACAATGTATCTGTTCTGTGTGACTCCACTTAAAGTGAACTAGCTTCATGCCAATTTAGATCTGTATTTTCCCAGTTATTGTGCCGACACGACATACAATTCAGAATTCTTTTATTTAGTTCTTTGGCTTTGAGCAATGTAATATTTGTGGCTAAGAACCAGCTAAGTTCATTTCTGCATGTGTGTTGGCTGTTCCATTTATCCTGACTTCCTGCATACTTATTTTAAATGCATGGTTAAGCTTAATGTGCATAAAACCAACACATAAAACCAAAAGCTCTATGAAATTAATTTTCTTTAAAACTACAGGCAAGCTCGGAGGCAGTTTTGTTTCCATACTGCAATATATTTAAAACCACCACACACACGACTTTCAGCAGGTATAATACTACTGAATCACCTCTTTCCTCTGTTAAAAATAAAAATGATACAGGAGATGATAAAATTATGACTAATATATTAATAGTATATTAGAACATATAATTATTATAACTGGCACCTGCCTTTCTTTCTTTTAAAAAACCCCACCTTTTAAAAAATCCCCACCTTTTAAAAAATCCCTCTTTAAAAAATGAAAAAGATAATGGAATGAAATAAATATGGTTTTGAATGTCATTACAAATTTCAGAATCTATTCTCGCTGATAAAAATTTGTATGCTGTGTTTGAGCAAACTGTCATGTTAATCACATTCCTCAGTCTGGTGGCTTCAGTAATAAGCAAGCTGAAAGGTAGGTGCTATTTTGTTTTCGTTAATGTAGTTGATGGGCTCCCCCCTTTCCAACACCCTAAGAGGGGAAAACAGAATTCCCATTTACTTTTCGTGACCTCTGATTTAAAAACAAAGATTGCACATTATTTACTACTGGATGATTTCCCTGGAATTTAATGAGGACAAAGTACAAATATGACAGATGTAATTATCATAGTTTTATTCTGCACAGTCAGGGTCTCCTTGTGCTGTAATTGCAAGCTTTTCATTCAACCGCTGGCAGCAGAGTTATTACCTCGGTATTTTATGTTATTTCAGAGAACAGGAAAGAGGACTTCCAGCTCAGTTTTATTCCAAGGAATCTCTAAGCATCCTCGCATTGGAATAGTAATTAAAAACAACGATCAACAAGATATTTCATCAGATCTCTTTGCAGATTTCTCTCCTTGTTGCTTTTTGAGCGCATTAAGTGTAAAAAACACACACACAAAAAACCCTGGGTTTTCACAACGTATTGGGAGGGATGGGAAAGTGGGGGCAGGGAGGGGAGCTGCTAAGCAGTTTCGAGAAAGAAACATGTGGGCAGGTGGCCAACGCATTGTCTGGTGCAAAGAAGGGCTCCCCCAGCATGTATTGCTTTACTCATTTAGACTCAAGCCAAGGTTGAGTGAGCCCCAGCTGGAGACTGGACCACTGACCCTGGAGCTGGAAACACACAACTATACACACACCCCTGGAAGCCTCCCTTTCCAAGGCCTGAATGTAATTGCTTTATATTACACTCCGGCCTCATCAAGCCCCTCACATGACGAAGGGAGGCGAGCGGAAATAAAAAAAACTTTCTAGTCCAATTCATAGTTTATAGCTCTAGCGTTATTAATTTTCCGTTTGGAATACAGGGCGATTCTCACCTCACATCCAAAGGCTTCGTGGCACAGATGCATCAAATATGCCATTTTATTGGCAGGGTAATTGCTGGAAGCTATTAAATTTTGAACCACTTCATTTATTTATTTTGAATTTAAAAAGATTATTTGTAGTTGGTGAAGAAGATCAGACCACTGTTATTTCAGGTCTCCACACATCTGCTACGTTTCATTAGCTTTTCCTATCCGTTCTTGGCTAGACAAGAGATGTTTTTAGCCCATCAGTATGAAAGTTAACAGGAGCAAGGTCTCCGCTGAGGACTTGAAGCTTACTACTAAATGTTGCATTTACAAAATAACATTACCTTCACTATCATGAAAATAGTTAACACATTTTAAATATGGAACCAGTAAAATTACCAGACAATCATGGCATTAAAAAGCTATTTGTTCCTGTCAATAAAGACACATCAAGCAAGAATGAAGCAGAATTTTAAAATATTCTGATGTTACTCTAAAGCATACTTTGCTCTTGGAAACTACCAAGGACTGTGAGACAGCCTGTGTGACACACAGTGAAGCCACATTGAAACATCTATTTTAGCCAAACACAGTTTATTTGTGTGAAGCTGTAATGACCGGAAGAATTTGGACTGAGATGTGAGAAATGGGACTAGATTTCAGTTACCCTTTGTGAACTCTGAAAGGAAAGGAAAACAAAACAAAGTTCTGATTCTGCTGCAGTTCACTTCCTGCAATGTCACAAATTTTGCCAATCTAAATTATCAGGGCACACAATTTTGCCGTACAATAAATACAAAATGGCTGCTTGGCTTTAAGGTGATCCCAATGTCTTTCCTCAAGATAGATGCTGTTTCAGAGGGCATATGCTGTACCTTACCAACAATATTTTGTCAATGGGGAAAAGCAATTCTTCCCACAACTATGGGAATGATAATGAACAGTATGAACAACCACTATGTCCCCAAGATATAAGGAGTTTTACTGAAACCTATTGCAGGGAGCTGGGCAAGTATTTACTCTCAAGTAAATACTTGAGTGGGCAAGTAAATACTTGAGTGGGCAAGTAGAAACTCCTCACTTATCTAAACTCTCACACTGTAGCATTCTTAGCCAAATGATTAATACAACTACTGAGAGAAAACCCACTGTACATAGCTGCTATCAGAAGCAGGCAAACTCCTGGTCGCAAAGTCACAGGAAGGGAAATATTGGAGGGATGTCACCATGTGGACTCAATAAATTGCTATTATAACTTGCATCACAATCAACCTTTTTCTTCCATCAGAACTAACTTTTTAGTTTCAAAAAGGCAAAGTAGTATTTTTGTTTGTTTCATACTTACAATAGGACTTGCGTTGATGTAGTCCGAGTTGTCGTGACTGTTTTCAGCTTTCAAACATATCCTGCAATGATCATCTGATTTTTTTAAATAAAAAAAAAATTAAATCAGTATTCATTTATTAAAAGATATCTTTCAAAGAGCATTTCTGAACAGACCACTACTATTCAGCCTATTTTTTTGCATATTTGCTTCTAAATATAGACATTTACAAAAGACTGATTTAAATGGTTAAGAACCATATAAAAAGTGTTATTGAAGTGGAACTTGCTATGTTGAGGAATAATTGCTATTAGGCAGGTGCCTTCGCTGTATTGTTTTCAGCGCCTGCTAAAAAAATAAAATGTTTTTATTTACACAAATCTATCATATATTTTTTTGAAAAAAGAACTACCGTATTTTTCGCACCATAGGACGCACCGGACAATAGGACGCACCTTGTTTTAGAGGGGGGAGAACAAGGGAAAAAAATTCTTCCGCTCTCTGCCCAGCGCCCCTTCAGTGAAGCGGCAGGAGGCGCTGCGCAGAGAGTGGGAGAATTTCCCCCCTCTTGTTTTCCTCCTCTAAAACAAGGTGCCGTTTAAGGTGCGTTCAGGCGGCTACCTTGGAAGCCTGGAGAGCGAGAGCGGTCGGTGCGCACCGACCCCTCTCGCTCTCCAGGCTTCAGGTTCCTTTCGACCTGCTCTTTGGGGCTGGCGGGGGGAAGCCCACCACCAGACCCAAAGAGCAGGTCAGGGAGCAGCGGAAAGGCGCAGCAGAGAGGCTGCTACCATAGGCGCGCGTCACCTCTCCAGCCGGGAGAGGGTCGCGGGGGGCTGCTTTAGCCCCGCGCGCGCTCTCCCAGCTGGAGAGGTGACGCGCGCCTATGGAGGCTCCTGCCATAGGCGCGCGTCACTTCTCTAGCCGGGAGAGGGTCGCGGGGGGCTGCTTTAGCCCCGCGCGCACTCTCCCAGCTGGAGAGGTGACGCGCGTCTATGGAGGCTCCTGCCATAGGCGCGCGTCACTTCTCCAGCCGGGAGAGGGTCGCGGGGGGCTGCTTTAGCCCCGCGCGCGCTCTCCCAGCTGGAGAGGTGACGCGCGCCTATGGAGGCTCCTGCCATAGGCACGCGTCACTTCTCCAGCCGGAAGAGGGTCGCGGGGGGCTGCTTTAGCCCCGCGTGCGGTCTCCCAGCTGGAGAGGTGACGCGCGCCTATGGAGGCTCCTGCCATAGGCGCGCGTCACTTCTCCAGCCGGGAGAGGGTCGCGGGGGGCTGCTTTAGCCCCGCGTGCGGTCTCCCAGCTGGAGAGGTGACGCGTGCCTATGGAGGCTCCTGCCATAGGCGCGCGTCACTTCTCCAGCCGGGAGAGGGTCGTGGGGGGCTGCTTTAGCCCCGCGCGCGCTCTCCAGCTGGAGAGGTGACGCGCGCCTATGGAGGCTCCTGCCATAGGCGCGCGTCACTCTCCAGCCGGGAGAGGGTCGCGGGGGCTGCTTTAGCCCCGCGTGCGGCTCTCCCAGCTGGAGAGGTGACGCGCGCCTATGGAGGCTCCTGCCATAGGCGGCGTCACTCTCAGCCGGGAGAGGGTCGCGGGGGCTGCTTTAGCCCGCGCGCGCTCTCCCAGCTGGAGAGGTGACGCGCCTATGGAGGCTCCTGCCATAGGCGCGCGTCACTTCTCCAGCCGGGAGAGGGTCGCGGGGGGCTGCTTTAGCCCGCGTGCGTCTCCCAGCTGGAGAGGTTGACGGCGGCCTATGGAGGCTCCTGCCATAGGCTGCGCGTCACTTCTCCAGCCGGAAGAGGTCGCGGGGGCTGCTTTAGCCCCGGTGCGGTCTCCCAGCTGGAAGGTGACGCGCGCCTATGGAGGCTCCTGCCATAGGCGCGCGTCACTTCTCCAGCCGGGAGAGGGTCGCGGGGGGCTGCTTTAGCCCCGCGTGCGGTCTCCCAGCTGGAGAGGTGACGCGTGCCTATGGAGGCTCCTGCCATAGGCGCGCGTCACTTCTCCAGCCGGGAGAGGGTCGTGGGGGGCTGCTTTAGCCCCGCGCACGCTCTCACAGCTGGAGAGGTGACGCGGGCCTATGGAGGCTCCTGCCATATGCGCACGTCACCTCTCCAGCCGGGAGAGGGTCGCGGGGGGCTGCTTTAGCCCTGCGCGTGCTCTCCCGGCTGGAGAGGTGACACGAAGCTATAGAGGCTCCTGCCATAGCCCCGCATTACCTCTCCAGCCGGGAGAGGGTCGCAGGGCTATGGCGTCTTCGCTCCATAGGACGCACACACATTTCCCCTTCATTTTTGAAGGGGAAAAAGTGCGTCCTATAGAGCGAAAAATACGGTACTGATTTTATTTATAGCTTGATACATTTTAACACGTGTTTTTAATGTTTGATTTTATCAGTATTTTCAAATGACTATTTTATATCATTTTATGTAAACAGCTTAGCAGTTTTTTATTATTATAAAGCAGTGTATAAACCTCGCCACATAAATAAATCAGTAAAATGGTTTGGTGTCTAACAAGTTCACTTAAAAACACACAACAATGTTTCATATAGCCTGTGCTTCAGGTTCAGTAGCCCCTAGCAAGGGCATTAATGATGCCAAACCTTTCCCTGTTCCCTACTCTGTATGAGAGCACGACAATGCTTAAAGACCGTTGCCAATAATAACAGGTTTATATTAAAGGGATTTCCACCCCAAGTTCATATGTAGGGTAGCTGATGAAATTTAATAAATAGCGTCAATCTCGTGGTATGTGCTGCTTTTGGTTGTGCATGAAGAGCATAAAAAACTTTTAAAACACATATATGCCATGGCTACTTTTGGCTTCACTTTCCATCCTAGGCCCAACGCGGAGAACAGCTGCCTTGTAAGCTCATCTATCAAAACCAACAGGTGCTTATACACTTGACTGGGTTTAACAGTTCTAACTACAAGCCAAGAGCATTGTGCACTTTTGGATAACGGTATTTGTGTCCAAAAGCCATGTGCGAAAACCGCACCATGAAGATGTTGAAATGAAATGTCATTTACGCAAAACGGCACTTGCTGTTATCATAGAATTGTAGAGTTGGAAGGGACCGCGAGGGTCATCTAGTCCAACCCCCTGAAATGCCTGAAATTTTTTTGCCCAACATGCTGGGAAGTAGTGCAAAGCATACTTTGGAAGCAGCAGCAGAAGCATCCACCATGAGAAGTCTGAAGCACACAGCAAGACAACAAGGTGGGCCACAGGAATATTAACTGTTCCTTGCACAGAGTGGCTGATAACAGTTCTTTCGACACATTTCCTCCTCTAATTGCAGTAATAGGCAAAGGGGAAAGCAATTAAGTAATGAATCCAGCTTAAACTGTACATACACGCTACCACATCTTGCGAGCGGTTCTTCTGGGCGTTTTCTTCCTTATGTGCAATGGTAGCTGCGTTGGGCTCAGCCTGATAAGCACAAAGTGCTTCCCATTCTTTCTCCAGGCGATTCTTGTTCTTCAAGTGGTCTTCCATATAGGACTGAAATGAGAAAATATCATCAGAGGTAGTATTATTTATACGCTCAACACTCTGTGTTATTCTAATTAACATCTGAATGGACTAGAGAGGACTAAAACCATAGGCAAACTCTGGCCCTCCAGATGTTTGGGACTACAATTCCCATCATCCCTAGCTAACAGTGGTCAGGGATGATGGGAATTGTAGTCCCAAACATCTGGAGGACCGGAGTTTGCCTACGCCTGACTAAAACACTTTGGCTCAAATTCAAGAACTGCTTGACTACGACTGTCTGCCCAGGGGTTTGCTTCTTATCTAACTAACTAACTAACTAACTAACTAACTATTTATTTATTTATTTATTTATTTATTTATTTATTTATTTATTTGTGTTTGTTTGTTTGACTTATAAACTGCCCTTCATCAACAGAACTCAAGAGTTGTTCACAAGATAAAAGCAGAAATAAACATAAACAACAAAACAGTAACCAACCACCTCCCACAAGGCTGAAGAATAGTCAAAGGCCTGGTTGAAGAGGAATGTTTTCGCCTGGTGTCTAAAATATATATAATGAAGGCGCCCTGGCGAGAGCATTACACAAACAGGGAGCCACTAAAAAAAAAGGCCCGTTTTCGTGTTGTCACATGAAGAAAGGCCTCAAAGTCCAGGTTGGTTTATAAGGCTTATTTATTTAAGGCTTTACCGGTCAAACCCTTACGGAACCCAAGTTTCTCAAAACAGCATAGCAAACTAGTTTTAAAGCTGAAAAAAGTTTCAAAAGCTGCTGGATCCCTGCAAAAGCAGGTTATGATATTGCTGAGCCAAAATAGGGCAGGGCAGGGCTGTGAAATAAGAATCAAGCTAATCTGCTGTTCGGCCACGTGGTGCAATTCATGAGTTCCACCTGAGCCACAAGACCCATGAAGCTGGACTTCTGACATTAGAGTCAAAGTGAAGAAAACAGGAACAGAGTTGACTTGCTTCTCTGGTTTCCCCAACGTCTGTGTACACATCCTCTTGTCTCATGCCTAGAAAGCATTGATCCATGCGGTTTTCTGCTGTCTAGGCATGAGTCAGAGAGGTTTTTACTTTTGTCCTCTGTCCCCCCCCCCCCCGAAAACTTGCTCTTTGGTGCTAAATCAGAGCAAATGTAAATCTGGAGAAAGTCCGATTGGCGTTTGCTCCAATTCTGTGGTGAGCAGCAAGTTTCCCCAGGGGCCAGTGGCAGGGCAAAAAGGAGCCAGGGCCAAATTAGTCATGGTGTTAAATGTGTTCTTTGCATTTAACCTGCATATATTTTTTAAAATGTCATCACTGGGGGGTGGCGGGGGACTGATAATTAACAGCGTCAGGGTAGGAGGCAAGAAAACAAGGAAGTAGCACAAGAATGGCAAACAAAGCAAAACTAACTGAAGGGAAGATCACACTGTCCCATGTGGAGAACAGGCTGGTCCTAGCTTGGAGCAATACAATGCACTTTAATATAATATGCTTACTCTTCTCCTAAACCAGTCAGACTCCAATTCAAATCAAATTCTTCTGTAATTTTCAATAGTCCTTTCAAAGTTTCCAGATAAGTATTACCAAGACTGTGATGCATGGATACTCTTGTTTAATTCACGTATATATTACAAAGGGTAATTCTTCAGAGAATTCAAATTAAATAAATAATATACATTGTAAAAGAAATGTAGGCGATAGTTGTTAAATGCGTATTTTTTTTAAAAAAAAATCCAGCATGACAAACTGTAGGCTTATATTGTTAATGAAAAAAGTTTTCTGTTTTTTTGAGGTGCAAAAGATAACAGAACTTGCCGCATTTCTTGTTTTGTTTACATTAGTCAATAAGGGTCCCAAAAGTATGACATTTATTGGCTTTTTTCATGATAAATATTATCCCGGGATATTAATTTTTTTGTGCATCTTAAGACTTTGCACACAATTCAACAAGTCCTCGTGCAATTTCTGACCACATAACCCTACATCAAACTAATTAATTCCTGGCAGTTTGGCAATAGGCTGGGGGGACGGACCCCACTTTTTTGACTTTGAGATCGTCACCCAACTACAAATTTATTTGTATCTTCTTCCTGCATATCCTGATTAATTACTAAAAAGAATAAAAAACTTCAAACTTCAGAAGAATTTCATAAATATAAATAATTCCAGCCTAGCTGCATCTTCAGAAAGGACACTGAAGAACTGGAGCAGACACAGAAAGGATATGCAAGACTTCATACTTATGAAGAAGAGTCATCCATTAAATCTGATAAGCAGCCAATATAACTACAGTGGTACCTGGGTTCTCAAATGCCTTGGTACTCAAACAACTTGGAACCCAAACACTGCAAAAAGGTTTGCAAACTTTTTTTGGAAGCCAAACATGCTCTGTTTTGAGTGTTATGCTTCCGATCTGAGTGACACACATGCGTTTTGAGTGTTACGCTGAGGTCTGTCTGTATTTGCTATTTATTGTGGCTTTTTTGTTTTGTTTTTGTGACTGTGGAACTCAGTTCAGCTACTGACTGATTGATTGATTGTATGGCTGCAGTACATTGTTACGCTTTCAT